GTGGTGATAGTGAGGGGAGTCAATCCTTTTGTTGACAAGACAGTAGTGACGGCCATCATGGTGACGTGTGTTGTTCTGCGAGACCAGAGATGTAGTTCATTCAGCGACACATTTGTATTTTTTTGACTTGCAAAATGATCTTTTAAATTGACAAACATCATATGTGTAATTCGTGGCACAATTCAAACGGGATCGAAAGATAATCTTTCTCTATTCATTGACTTCAATACATACTTTTTCCGAAATAAGGTCCCATGGAGGAAGGGGAGGGGCTTCGCCTCTCTATTGATGAATTCAGACATGCAGTAAAACTTTTTCTGTGTTTCTTGGAAGTTTTCTTTCCATTAGAGTGAAAGAAAACATGGAAGTAAAATAGACCAAAATAACACAGGAAAAAACGATATTTTTGCCCGTAATGTCCTTAAACAGTAACTTCATAATTTTGATTGTCGGCTGCTCATTTAATAACTATTCATTGTACTAGTTTGTTGTCTGCTCTTGTGCTTAGTGAATACTAAAGAAGACCATTGTCTCTGTGTTAGCTGATTATTTTGTAGAGTTCTGTTGAGTATTAAACAATTACGTGAGTGTGAGGGTATTAAAATTAATTGGTCAGTAAGTCAGAGATATGCAACTATATTTAACTTTTTGTTTTACATTCTTTTTTATAAATGATTATGGGAAGTGCCCTTTTTCTCACTTGAGCACCCGCCCCCCAACATGTCTGTGCACGTCCCTGCCCAACAGCGATGTTCAGAAGTAATAACGATGATGATAATTGATGTCTTCAGTGATTAATGACCTTACTCACTCTCGGCCCCCTCCTATTCATCCTTTACCTGCTTCCCCTTGGTCACATAATCCGCCGTCATGGACTTCAATTCCACTGCTTTGCCGACGACATCCAGCTTCTCATCTCCACCAAGTCCATCTCCACTGCTACCCACTCCATCCTGACAAACTGCATCACTGAAATAAAATCCTGGCTCCAACTTAACTTCCTGAAACTCAACTGCGATAAATCTGAAATAATAATCATTGGACAAAACAAGCTCACCACACCTATCCATAACTGCACCCTCAACATAGACGGCTTCCCAGTTCAAACCTCCCCTCACATCCGGAACCTAGGCATCCTATTTGACCAAACCCTCTCCTACAACAAATACATCAAACAGATCACAAAGACAGCCTTCTTCCACCTCAAAAACATCGCCCGTCTACGTCCATCCCTCTCTCCCACTGCTGCCGAAACCCTCATGCACGCCTTCATCACCTCCCGTCTGGACTATTGCAACAGCCTCCTCTACGGTTCACCTGCAAAAATCCTCAAAAAACTTCAATACATCCAGAACTCCGCCGCCCGTCTACTCACCCACACCCGAATCCGTGAACACATTACCCCCGTCCTCATCAAGCTCCACTGGCTCCCCATCCCCAGATAATTCAGTACAAGATCCTCCTGATGACATACAAAGCCCTCCATAACCTGGCCCATCCTACCTGACTGACCTCCTCCACAGACACACTCCCACTCGCTCCCTCCGCTCTGCTGCTGCCAACCTCCTGTCCCTCCCCACCCGGACCAACCTCAAGTCCTGGGGCGGCAGAGCCTTCTCCGTTGCTGCACCCACCCTCTGGAACTCACTACCCCAATCCATCAGAGATTCTTCCTCCCTCACAGCATTCAAAACATCACTCAAAACCCACCTGTTCAACACTGCATTCAACCACTGACCCCCCCCCCCCCCTCCCCCCCTATGTTCTGTTCTGTTTATCTCTTTTTGTATTTCTTTGTTATCTCTTTTTTTTCTCTTTTTTTTTTTCTCTTGTCTTTCCTCCTCTTAATTCTCTGTCAAAGCGTCTTTGAGTTTCATGAAAAGCGCTATAGAAGTCCCATGTATTATTATTATTATTACAGCACTTTACAAGGCCAGGTGTTTTTAAGAAGATTCAGTAAAGCCTGAGGTGATTCCTGTCAACACTTGACGTGTTTTCTGTAAGTTTAACAGATCCACAACATCAGATAAAAACTGGTCAGATGGCATTGCAGTTTTAAACAGTCGTCTTGACGTTTGATGAGGAAACACAACTCTACAATTACATCTCTGAGAAAAGATGTACCTATCAAAACATGTAATGTAATGCTTCAACAGCTAGTTTCGCCAATGCAACGCTTTCAGACAAACTTGCCAAATGTTTATAGGATTTCACAATAGTGGTTAACCCTCAAAATCATACAAAGCTCCACATGTTTTGTAGAAACTCACAAGTCTGTTTCACCTGCTGCCTGGAGCTATTTTTGTATGATTTAAGGCAGGGGTGTCAAACTCAAGGCCCGGGGGCCAAATCCGGCCCGCAACTTCATTTTATGTGGCCCCGCAAGAGCTCTGAAAGAATATAATACGTTTATTATACGGTTACATGCCACTTTACAGAAGCAGGTGGCCCATAAACTACATGTCCCACAATGCATCTGGTTTTGAGACATGCTCACTGAAGAGACTTGCAATGATTTGCCCTAGAGTTCTGCTTTCAGACGTAGTTAATTACTAAGTTATTATCCTATCCGATAATACTCCAATTCAGAGGCAATAATGTCATATAATACATATATATATTATATATTTATATATGTATATTTATATAGTTACAACCAGCCCTTTGTGGCCCGCGATGAAATTGATTTGACACCCCTGATTTAAGGTGTAAGATTAGTAAGAGTGTAGGCCCATTTGCATTTCCAAGCATTTACATTGTCCTTGTCCACATAATCCCAATTGTACATTAGATCTCATTTAAATGCATCTGCACTGCAAGGAAGTACCTGAGCAAAGGGCAAAGCATGCTTCATTATTATAATAAGACTTCGCTCAGTTTCAACTCAGATGCGATCACTAAATGCCTCTGGGCCAATACAACAGACATCAGTTATAGTCAATGCAAGAGGACAAAGAACACAGACAGCACTTGCCTTGAGTGGAAAATTACAGATATCAGAGCCGCTAAAAGTCACTATTGTGTACAAATGGAAATAAAACAATGATAAGGGAAGCAGCTGCAGTTTGGGAACTTCTGTGTTAAAGCATGAAACTGTTGAAGGACTGCTGCTCGTGGTCGTAGCATGGGAACAGAAATGGAGACAGAATTAGTGTTTTTGGGAGTGATTGCACTGAAAACTGCAGAGAAACAGAAGACAAACTTAGAGATCTTTGACATATGATGGATTTACTCGGAGAAGAGACGTGCAAATATAAAAAATAAGTTGATAGATCGTTACATCACAGCAGGACAAATGATATGACAACTTTTGATAGCAGTTGTCTTTTTTCTCAACATTCTGACTTTTATCTTAAAACTCTGACTTTTTTTCTCAATTTGAGCTTAATCTTTAACTTAATGGGTGGACTTCACTCTGTTGCAGCTTGACCTCATGCAAATGTAAAACACAAGTTAACGACACAGCGAGCTCACATGATGTCGAACGACGTTTCATAACCTTGCATCCTTTTAAAAAAAACTCCTCAGTACTTTTCCATTGTGTGAAGAACACAATCCGTCTCTTCATACCAAGGAGGGATTGGGTATGTACTGCAGAGTATGCACATTTTCTTGGGCACTTTATTCAGAATAAATATCCAGAATTAGAGGACATATAAGACTTCTACATTTAAAAAAATGAACCTTTTATTTTTAAATGTTCTGTTATTAATGTATTTGAGAAAAACAGTCAGCTAACCATCAACAAATCAATGGTACACTTTTTATTAGATGGTTTATTACCGGTATGCTTTTTCTCTATGGTTTGCTTGAAGTCCAGATATCTATTTCTAAATGTCCATTAACCTGTGGATTGAACTGTCCCTGGTACCATTACCATAGGCAATTCAAATTCTAGGAAAATACAGTAATACATTTAAAAAGAAGAAGAAGAAGAAGATGGACCTTTATTAATCCCCAAGGGGGAAATTCAGTTTCCAGTCTGTCGAACACACACATGCGTTTTTATACAGGTACACACAGCTTAGGCATCAATGGTTGACTTTTTATTAGATGTTTTATTTGTTGCTTTTCAGCAGCGCTCTATGGTTTGCTAGAACTACAGAAATCAATTAGAAACGTGTCCATTAGCCTCTTGATTTAACTATAATTTAAAAACAGTTTTGTTCATTTTGAGTTAATTTATAACACATATTATTAGCTGTTGGAGCCTCAACATGCTTAGGCTTTCATTTGACTAAAGATAGTACATTGAACTGCAGGAAATGCAAATCTGTAACTGTAATTGTAGTAACAGGGTTTTGAAACCACTGCTTCTATACATATGTTTACCTTTTACCTAAAGACATGCATATTCAGTGCATGTTTTAGCACTTTGGGCATTAGGCAAGGCAAGTTTATTTATATAGCACCTTTCAACACAAGGCAATTCAAAGTGCTTTACAAAAAATGAAAGACATTAAGAAATTGGCATTTAAAATCTTTCATTAAAAAGCAAAGATAATAAAAGTTACAGTGCAGTTTAAGATGTGAATAGTTCAATTAAAAGCAGCGACAAAAAGAAAAGTCTTCTTGCTGGATTTAAAAGAAGTCAGAGTTGCAGCGGACCTGCAGGTTTCTGGGAGTTTGTTCCAGATATTTGGAGCATAATAACTGAACGCTGCTTCTCCATGTTTAGTTCTGACTCTGGGGACAGAAAGCTGACCAGTCCCTGAAGACCTGAGAGATCTGGATGCTTCATCATTTAGCAGGAGGTCAGAAATGTATTTTGGGCCTAAACCATTCAGTGCTTTACAGGTTTTATTTGTGATTCGAACGTGGATGGGTTGGGCAGTTTGGGTTTAGGTAGAGAGATAAAGAGATGGCTATCCCCCTTCCAGTCAAATCAAATAATTACAGGCAGGTAAGACAGATTAGCGAACCTGCCGGCGACAAACAACAAGGTGTTCAGGTGTGCAACAAAGACAACTTCACTCTCTCTGCCTCCCATCAGGTTCAGTATGGCTGTCAACGTCCTTGGAATAATTGTGATGGTGTTTCTCTACTTGCTGGTGCTTGGAGTCGGCATATGGGCTTTTTTCAAGTCCAAAAAGAAGAGGGACAAATGTCCAGGGGAGAGTTTGGAGATAAGTCTGCTGGGAAACAGGAGCATCGGCAGAGTGGTGGGGATATTCACTACGGCAGGTGAGATCAGAGTGATGTAAGAGTAGAACAAACAAGCATATTGTTACGCTTATTTAGTTAAAACATGTAAGTAGCTGCTTATAAATAGATATCCAGTACATGAGCACCAATAGTCACAACATAAACTCTATGCATTACATTAATGCACACAATGTAGTTCTCTATACGTGTTTTTAATGTTTGTTTTACTTTTATGTATGAAACAAATCATATTCCTCGTACGTGTCAACCTACCTGGTAATAAACCTGTTTCTGATTCTGATAAATATCGATTGGAAAAAAATCTGTTCAGTCTTTTGTTGTTGTCATTTGTTTATAAAATGTGACTAAATCAGGGGTGTCAAACTCAATTTCATGGCAGCTACTGTACATCAACAAAGGGCTGGTTTTAACTTTACGACTATATACATATAGATATAAATATATAATATATGTATACAATAATGTACTATATTACATTATTGTCTCTGCATTGGAATAATAATTAACTTCGTCTGAAAGCAGAAGTCTAGAGAAAATACTTTGCAAGTCTCTTCAGTGCCATGTCACAAAACGAGATGCATTGTGGGACATGTAGTTTATGGACAACGTGTTTCTGTAAAAGGGCATGTAACTGTATAATAAACGTATTTTATTCTTCTATTTTATTTGAGCTCTTGCGGGGCCACATGAAATGCAATCTTGAGTTTGACACCTCTGCTCTACGCAGTGCTTCTCAAAGTGTGGTCCGCGGATCACTGGTGGTCCGTGAGCGCCCCCTAGTGGTCCGTGAGTATATTTCACATTTGAAATACATTTATGTATTTGAGTTTTCCGCACTCTCGCAGGAATATCTCCGCAATGGAGTGAGCTTAAGTTTCACTTTCGATTGCATGATATAGCCCAGATAAACACCTTCATCGCACATGTTGCCACTTGTTTGTACCATTTTCAGGCGATTTGTAAAAAACGATGTGTTTTTGGATATTTGTAGAGTTAGGTGGTCCGCGAGTGTTTTTTTATTGGTTAAGTGGTCCTTGGTATGAAAAAGTTTGAGAAACACTGCGCTAAAGCAATGAGACAGACCCCCATGCACAATGTAATGTTGGCACACATTGTACATTTGACCTCAGAATAACTATGTGTGTGTGTGTGTGTGTGTGTGTGTGTATGTGTGTGTGTGTGTGTGTGTGTGTGTGTGTGTGTGTGTGTGTGGTGTGTGTGTGTGTGTGTGTGTGTGTGTGTGTGTGTGTGTGTGTGTGTGTGTGTGTGTGTGTGTGTGTGTGTGTGTGTGTGTGTGTGTGTGTGTGTGTGCATGTGTTTATTCTCCAGCTACATGGATTGGAGGAGGCTTCGTTGTAGGGCTTCCAGAGATCGTGTACAACCCGTCTTTGGGCTTCGTCACCGCCTGTAGCTACGTTATAGGCATCGTACTGAGTATGGTGATTGGTGAGTCTGTTTTAAACTGAACACTGTGAGTACATGTGTAGAAATGACTTCTGTTTTATGGGCAATAATCATATAGTTGTATCATTTAGTTGTGTTGCTGTTGCTGAACACTCACAATACATTAGGGCAGCGGTTCCCAACCTTTTTCAACTCAGGGCCCACTTAAGAATCTAAAAAATGTTTCGCGGCCCACATTCAACCATAAACAATACGGAGGCTGAATAAAGTTCTCAGAGTACTTTTTATTTTAATTAGAAAAGGAGCTGGCTATCAGTAACAAACAGACATTTTGATTACACTGTTTAGTTGAATACTAGATTCTGATTGGTCAATTTAGAACATGTGACATGTTGTTAATACAGTAGTACAGACCGCTGTCAAGGACTGTCATGACCGTTGCTAAGGCAGATCAAGAAAGAAAAAGGAAAAATCTTAATAATTTTTACACAAATCATAATGTTTTGAAAATGATTTGGTGGCCCGGTTGGGAACCGCTGCATTAGGGCTTCGCTGTGTTTGGAGTATGCAGTGATGTTACATTTGAATCCTGATGAACAGAGAACTTGGTATCACAGATCATTCCCATATGTAGAGTCTTTGGATAAACTGAATGTCTTTTTGTCAGATAACTTCTTCTCTTTCTCTTCTTGATTGTGTCTAGAACTGTCGATCGTGTCCAAAATGTAGTATTGAATGCAAAGGTTCTTATGCAGGTCATCTGTATTTTGGTGATGATTTTGGAGTTGAGATCCAAACGTTGTCTAAAAGGCACCAAGTATTTCTAGTAGGAAGGTGAAGTGAAAGGACGAGATCACAGAGGACACAGACTGACATTTAGTATCATTCAGAAAAGTCATTTGATTACAAAATAAAAATAAAACACATTAGAGCCTCGACTAAGAATGAAGTGAAGCGGGCCATATATTAATTTTAGTTCTTTACATCTGACCAAAAGGGAATTTGTTGTTAACAGACGTAGACAAATATTTCAGACTTTTTTTCTCAGAATTCTTAGATTTTCAGAAAATTCTAAGAAAATAATTATTGTCACCATTCAGATTTTTTTTTCAGTCAGCATCTGGTGTTAGGGTTAGGGTTAGGGTTAGGGTTAGGGTTAGGGTTAGGGTTAGGGTTAGGGTTAGGGGGGGTTAGGGGTAGGGTAATGTTGTGAATTGAGTGGCCCATGGTGGTGGTGGGGTTATGGTATGGGCAGGCGTATGTTATGGACGACGAACACAGGCCACTCGATTCACAACATTACCCTACCCCTACCCCTACCCCTCACACCAGATACTGACTGGTTTTCGGACCCCCTCAGACCCCCCCAATAAAGCAAAACTGCACGTTTCAGAGTGGCCTTTTATTGTGGCCAGCCTAAGGCACACCTGTGCAATAATCATGCTGTCTAATCAGCATCTTGATATGCCACACCTGTGAGGTGGGATGGATTATCTCGGCAAAGGAGAAGTGCTCACTATCACAGATCTTTTCAGATTTGTGAACAATATTTGAGAGAAATGGTTATTTTGTGTTTATAGAAAATGTTTTAGATCTTTGAGTTCATCTCATGAGAAATGGGAGCAAAAACAAAAGTGTTGCGTTTATATTTTTGTTCAGTGTAAATCTAAAGAAATCTGACTTTTTCTCAGAAGCCAGAATATGTTTAGTTTTTTGTCAGAATTCGTAGAAAATTCATGACTTTTTTTCTCAGAACCACCAAATAAAAAAAAAACTTTTGGTCAGATCTCCCAAAAAAATGTACATGTGAAAAACCAAATTATGACTTTAATCTGAGAATTATGACGTTTCGCAGGAATATGGAATATCATTTTTCATCTGAGATCTGGCTTTTTTCACAATCACATTATTTCCTCTTGAAATATAGAATTAATTAAATAAAGCAATATTTTTCCAAGTAATGATTTATAAAACAAACAAATGGGGTGACCTTGTCTTTGTGTCTTTAATCAGGTGGCCTTTTCTTCGCTGGGCCAATGAGAGACAAGAAATATGTGACCATGATGGATCCTTTCCACATCAAGTATGGAAAAGTACCGATGGCCTTTTTATCTCTGGGAACAATGCTGTGTAACATCCTGTGGGTGACATCAACACTGTACGGTTTAGGTATGTAATCCATTACTTTCTAAACTACAAAACAATCGCCAAGCCAGAGGTCTGTCTTTGTTTTAGTATCCAATCCAAAGTATTTTTACCATGTGACAGCCAGATGTAAAATAAGATAGTTGCAAGTTAATGCATTCTTAAAACTGTATGGTTGTGTTCAGAGTTGGGAAGTATTGGAGTACAAATACTTTGTTACTGTACTTAAGTACATTTTTCTGGTATCACTAATTATTTTTCCGACGACTTTTTACATTGACTTCTTACATTTTGAACCCAAATACCTGTACTTTCTACTTCGTACATGTAGAACTCAAATACCTGTACTTTCTACTTCTTACATGTTGAACTCAAATACCTGTACTTTCTACTTCTTACATGTTGAACTCAAATACCTGTACTTTCTACTTCTCACATGTTGAACTAAAATACCTGTACTTTCTACTTCTCTCATGTAGAACTCAAATACCTGTACTTTCTACTTCTTACATGTAGAACTCAAATACCTGTACTTTCTACTTCTCACATGTTGAACACAAATACCTGTACTTTCTACTTCTCACATGTTGAACACAAATACCTGTACTTTCTACTTCTTACATGTTGAACTCAAATACCTGTACTTTCTACTTCTTACATGTAGAACTCAAATACCTGTACTTTCTACTTCTTACATGATGAACTCAAATACCTGTACTTTCTACTTCTTACATGTTGAACTCAAATACCTGTACTTTCTACTTCTTACATGTTGAACTCAAATACCTGTACTTTCTACTTCTTACATGTTGACACCAAATACTTGTACTTTCTACTTCTTACATGTTGAACTCAAATACCTGTACTTTCTACTTCTTACATGTTGAACACAAATACTTGTACTTTCTACTTCTTACATGTAGAACTCAAATACCTGTACTTTCTACTTCTTACATGTAGAACTCAAATACCTGTACTTTCTACTTCTTACATGTTGAACTCAAATACCTGTACTTTCTACTTCTCACATGTTGAACACAAAGACCTGTACTTTCTACTTCTTACATGTAGAACTCAAATACCTGTACTTTCTACTTCTTACATGATGAACTCAAATACCTGTACTTTCTACTTCTTACATGTTGAACACAAATACTTGTACTTTCTACTTCTTACATGTTGAACTCAAATACCTGTACTTTCTACTTCTTACATGTTGAACTCAAATACCTGTACTTTCTACTTCTTACATGTTGAACTCAAATACCTGTACTTTCTACTTCTTACATGTTGAACCCAAATACCTGTACTTTCTACTTCTCACATGTTGAACACAAAGACCTGTACTTTCTACTTCTTACATGTAGAACTCAAATACCTGTACTTTCTACTTCTTACATGTTGAACACAAATACTTGTACTTTCTACTTCTTACATGTTGAACAGAAATACCTGTACTTTCTACTTCTTACATGTTGAACCCAAATACCTGTACTTTCTACTTCTTACATGTTGAACTCAAATACCTGTACTTTCCACTTCTTACATGTAGAACTCAAATACCTGTACTTTCTACTTCTCACATGTTGAACACAAAGACCTGTACTTTCTACTTCTTACATGTAGAACTCAAATACCTGTACTTTCTACTTCTTACATGTTGAACACAAATACTTGTACTTTCTACTTCTTACATGTTGAACAGAAATACCTGTACTTTCTACTTCTTACATGTTGAACCCAAATACCTGTACTTTCTACTTCTTACATGTAGAACTCAAATACCTGTACTTTCTACTTCTCACATGTTGAACACAAAGACCTGTACTTTCTACTTCTTACATGTAGAACTCAAATACCTGTACTTTCTACTTCTTACATGTTGAACACAAATACTTGTACTTTCTACTTCTTACATGTTGAACAGAAATACCTGTACTTTCTACTTCTTACATGTTGAACCCAAATACCTGTACTTTCTACTTCTTACATGTTGAACTCAAATACCTGTACTTTCCACTTCTCACATGTTGAACACAAATACCTGTACTTTCTACTTCTTACATGTTGAACTCAAATACCTGTACTTTCTACTTCTTACATGATGAACTCAAATACCTGTACTTTCTACTTCTTACATGTTGAACACAAATACCTGTACTTTCTACTTCTTACATGTTGAACTCAAATACCTGTACTTTCTACTTCTACATGTTGAACACAAATACTTGTACTTTTCTACTTCTTACATGTTGAACAGAAATACCTGTACTTTCTACTTTCTCTCATGTTGAACCCAAATACCTGTACTTCTACTTCTCACATGTTGAACCACAAACATCCTGTACTTTCTACTTCTCACATGTTGAACCCAAATACCTGTACTTTCTACTTCTCACATGTTGAACAACAAATACCTGTACTTTCTACTTCTCACATGTTGAACACAAATACCTGTTTTCTACTTTTACATGTAGAACTCAAATACCTGTACTTTCTACTTCTCACATGTGAACACAAAGACTGTACTTTCTACTTCTTACATGTTGAACTCAAATACCTGTACTTTCTACTTCTTACATGTTGAACTCAAATACCTGTACTACTCTACTTCTTACATGTTGAACTCAAATACCTGTACTTTCTACTTCTTACATGTTGAACTCAAATACCTGTACTTTCTACTTCTTACATGTTGAACTCAAATACCTGTACTTTCTACTTCTTACATGTTGAACTCAAATACCTGTACTTTCTACTTCTCACATGTTGAACTCAAATACCTGTACTTTCTACTTCTCACATGTTGAACACAAAGACCTGTACTTTCTACTTCTTACATGTTGAACTCAAATACCTGTACTTTCTACTTCTCACATGTTGAACACAAATACCTGTACTTTCTACTTCTTACATGTTGAACTCAAATACCTGTACTTTCTACTTCTTACATGTTGAACACAAATACCTGTACTTTCTACTTCTTACATGTTGAACTCAAATACCTGTACTTTCTACTTCTCACATGTTGAACTCAAATACCTGTACTTTCTACTTCTCACATGTTGAACACAAAGACCTGTACTTTCTACTTCTTACATGTTGAACTCAAATACCTGTACTTTCTCTCTCACATGTTGAACTCAAATACCTGTACTTTCTACTTCTTACATGTTGAACTCAAATACCTGTACTTTCTACTTCTTACATGTTGAACTCAAATACTTGTACTTTCTACTTCTCACATGTTGAACCCAAATACCTGTACTTTCTACTTCTCTCATTTTCCAAACAGCTGGTTCCTTTAGTCTGAATGTGTGTTTGATGCGTGATCATTATTCTTTAGAGTCATTGCGTGCCTATTGATTTGAACACGATCCGTGTATCCATCATTCCTGGTCTTCTCTAAAGAAGAGGGACCAATGGAAACGTTGTCATGTTGCCGTTGTTCAGCATGGAAACATTCATTAGCTAACAATGACATTATTTTCATTAATATAAAGGGAGGTCAGGTACTCTTTAAAGCAGCTGCTAGTTATGGGTACTTTTTACTGAAGTACATTTCAAAGCCTCTTTACTTTCACTTGAGTAAGAAGTTTAGTCAGTACTTCTACTTTACCGAGTACTTTTAAACAACGAATTCTGTACTTCTACTTGAGGAAAGGATGTGTGTACTTTTGCCATCTCTGATTGTGTGTGTGTGTGTGTTGTGTGTGTGTGTGTGTGTGTGTGTGTGTGGTGTGTGTGTGTGTGTGTGGTGGTGTGTGTGTGTGTGTGTGTGATGTGTGTGTGTGTTGTGTGTGTGTGTGTGTGTGTGTGTATGTTGTCCACAGGTGCACCATGAGTGTGATCATTGGTCTACCGTTCACCGTGTGCATCTGGATCTCTGCTGCGGTGGCGATCGTCTACACCCTGATGGGAGGTCTTCACTCGGTGGCGTACACAGATGTTGTGCAGCTCGTCCTCATGTTCATCAGCCTGGTCAGTTGTTACACATTTTGCCTCAAGTTTTGAGAAAATGCCAGAATTCTGAGATTAATTTCGGACTTTTATGACTTTTTTCTCAGAAATATCGAGTATAATTTTTTCTCCAAATTCTGACTTTTTTCTTTAATTTCTGACTTTTTTTCTCCAAATTCTGACTTTTCTCTTAAAGGAGAGGTGTCATGGCTATTTCCACTGATCATAATTCCATTGTTGAGGTCTACTAGAATAGATTTATACTGTGCAATTTTCCAAACTC